CTGGACAAGGTCCTGTGCAGCCTGCTGTAGGTGACCCTGCTTCGGCAGGAGGGTTGGACTAGATGACCCACAGAGGTCCCTTCCAAACCCTACCATTCTGTGATTCTGTGACATTATTTTAGACAAAGAAGAAAATGAGGCAAGATATTGTTAGAGCTTCAAAGTTCCAAAACCTGATAACAAAACAGCATTAAACCCTTTGAAAGCAGAATAGCTTTGGTCATGTTGGCATCTTCAGAGAGCGGTGGTTTCACAAAAGGCAGGTCCCTTTATCAATAGTAGTACATGGGTAACAAGTAACTTTTGACTTACAAACCCTAAGTAGCTACCACTATTGTACTATAATTCTCATCATTTGCCCCAGCTTTATTGGGAAATATTACATCCCCATCCCAGAGCTCTGACTTGGGTCTTGTTTTCTAACTCAAGTTTCTTTACATGAAATTAACTCATTCTTATGTCCTGATTGTTTAACTAATAGTCTAAAAGCTCACCATCACCCTGATATGCTACCACTAGCTGACAGTTTGTACCCACAAAGAAACTTTGTTTTAGATGTGAAACATTTGCTTTAGATCTGTGCAACGCTCCAGCAATTGAATCTCGATCTGCAGTGAAGACTCCCAGACAGTGGGATGATACAAGAAATACCAATTTTTTTTAGTCTTTGTCAAGACTGGGACATTTGCCCCATATATGTGCTCCTCCTACAGCATTCGTCTGGAGGCAATACCATTGTGACTATCATGCATGGTTCTACACAGCTTTCCTCCTATTGTGAGCATAGCTCAGACCTGACCTAAAGGTTAGCACTACAACTAACCTAGGGGTTAGCACCACCAGAGAGACTGTGAATAAGCCTGGGACCATCAACACCAGCTAGAATCCAGCCCGGAGGGACTACATGGAATCTGTGCACCTTTTAGTTTCACCTGGGAGCTAGCTAGGTAGTCAGTACACATCTTCTGTGGTGACAGTGGCGTGCATTAACTCTTACTTTAAAGATCTGGTTTCCAATTCTACTTTTCCAAACGATCACAGACTTTCCTCAATATACCTCCTACTGTATAATGAGAACACATTCTTTGCATCCATTTTACTTACAATGACTTAGAGAAATAGCCTTAAGAAGGTTATTCCCAGGAACTGTAACCACCCCCTCAGAATAGCAGGTTGTTGAGTTAGTGCCGATGAGTCAGACGGGCTTTTTAATTCTGTTCTAAAAGGAATCACCACAACAGTGGAGAAGGGAGAGGAAAAATAAAAAGAGAATCGAGTGGAAAAGGCTTCCACCGTCTGATGATTCATGCACCATCAGCGTGACTCACCCAGCATTACTCTGCCATTAAAACATGGAGACCAGGCTGATTAGTCACAGTAATGAATTTTTCAAGAAAGGATTCTCCCCTATAAATAATGATGACTTTGTCTGGATAGTGTTAGTGTGACTCACCTTTCCAGCATGCCGGGCAGCACCAATCGTGTCATCTGCAAAAAGAAAACATTCGTGATGGCTGAGAATGCAGACACCAGACAGCCAGAGACGGAGGGAAGCCTCCCTTCCTCCCAGAAGCAGCTGCCACCCCCTCCACCCCAACCAAGGCTTGGGGAAGCAGAGACCATACTTTGCGTAGGCAGTTTATTTTTATTCTACCTGGATAACTTGGCTCTGTCAAGTAGTGTGTGCACTGAATCCGATGCACCCATCCAGCTAGTAGCATAAGTACAATAAGAGTAAATAAAAAACCGTCTTCACTGCTCTGCAGCATCCATGGTCTTTAAAGAACATTAAAACACCAGAGTACTATGGTACATGCATGATCTTTCTCCCCCCACAGAAAGCATCTGTCTTCCTCAAGACTGACTGAATTTACCACCTATACCAAGACTCAAGACAGTATCCAGTGCATTTTAGCTAGGCTTACCGAACTGTTGCTTTTAAGCTAAAAATAAGCTGTGGAGCAGCAAGAGCACTGGACAGAATTAGTGAAGGTAAGTTTCCCATATAATATATTACCTACAGAAAACATTTAAGACCCCAAAACATTTTTTTGCTGATTACACTGATGTTTTCACACTGAAGAATCTACACCCACATGAGGAAACTCCTCACTGGTCTGGAAGCTCCTGCCTTTGTTGTGACTCGAGCAATCTATTCACAACCTGGCTGAAGGATTCTCCAGAGCAGTCATCCTAAAACGAGCTTCCCAGTTGCAGACAGAGCAGCTCTGACAAGGGACACAAATCAGGCATCGATCCAAACTTTGACTATTTTTTAATTCGTGTGAAATAGTTGATTTTCCTACTACTAATTACTACCATCCTAAAATACAATTTAAATCCAAGATTTCTGCCTTTAAGAAATACTGTCTTCAAAGTTCAGCCTGTGCCAAACACTCCCCTACCCCTAGCCCTGTGAATAAATGTCACGTCACTGACACCAGAGACAGCTCAGACAAGAAATACAAATTGTTCCCACTTTTCACATCATTAAAAGGTGGTCCAAAGTTCCTGAGAACACAGTAAGGAGGGGGCAATAAAATACAAATGGCACGCAAAATGTAATGCTACTCCCACTGATAACAAATTACCTCGATAGCTTAAAACATGAAACATTTGAGTAGTATAGGAGAAAAAACATGCATAAAAAAAGAAATCAGCACATACAGGAGCACAAAACACCTGTAAACACTTATTACAAACAAACAAATCTTATTGTGGCAAGCTATTTGTATTGCTATCACCACCGCACTAGCCCTCACATATGACTGAATTTGCGTTTGGGTTTTGGGTGTTTTTTGGTTGGTTCATTGGTTATTTATTCTATCTTATTTTACTTTTAAATTATAAAACATACCCTTCCAGGAATAAAGGTGAAAAATCACAAAAGATGACAACATTCAGTTTTTGCCATCAGCCATGCTGCATGACAGCTTCCTTAAGGGACTGTACATGCAGGAGTTGAACAGACCTCACTTTCATGAAGTTGGCTGTTGGCATATCTAACTCTCAGCACCGCCCCACAAGTCATACTAAGTATTCAGAGTTGGTAAACATCACCAAGTTAAACAGATCTAATGCAACTTCAAAAAAAACCCTTTAACATTAAGTCCAAGCATACACAAGCTTTTTCACATATTAATGCTTCAAAAGAGATGTGGAGACAACTATTTATCTTAATGCAAAAGGATAAAGAATGATTTGGGCTGATTTTAAGACTAGTTCAAGACTGTCAGATCTTTTATCTGGTGCAAGCTTTATGATCTCTCCTACAGACCCCTTGGCAAAAAGCAGCATACTGTTTCTTGCCTCTCAGGGCACTGTAATGCTGCATATCATCTCCACAGATTGACACATGGACGTGGACTGAAATTGCCTTCCCTAAGGCAACCCATAAATGGTCTGAAAAACCAGTACAGGATCTCCCATTGTAATGCAGAGGGGACCCCTCATTTGAAACTGTCATAAATCCACACAAACGCATTCATGGTCTAAATCCAAATTGCAGCCCACCAGACAGCCCTGACAGTGTATCACGAACCTGCTGGTTACTACCGCTATCCAAATGACAGCACAGGAAAACATGCTACAATAATTGTTTGATTTACATAAATTAAAAAATGATGAAGTCATTGATAGCTGAGATACAACAGCAGGTACACAATTCAGGTAGAAATCAAGAAGTCTCTCACCACCAGCTGTGTTAAATAGTCTGTTCCTAAAGTTCAGCTGGACAGGCAGTCAATATTTGTTCCCCCTCCACAGAAAAACACTGATGGCAAAATTGGATTTCATACGCAACATCACTTTCATTTGTTTCCATTAAAATCAATATTTTGAGGGAATTTCAAAAATCTGTGAAATAGGGCAAAACTGTTTCTCCTATCTGTATTTTTACATCTTGTGATGTGTGAAAAGAGATATATGAATATTCAGTATCTTTATGTACAGAAAAAATACTGTTTTTTTAAAGAATAAAATAACAGAAGGCAGCTCTCTGAGTCAGTCTCACCTCACCCAGCCAAGTCCACACTCAGACTGCTCCAGCAGTGCAAAAGCACTATTGGAAAAATGCTGGCAGGGCATCCTGCAGCCATATTCGGGTCTGGCAAATGTATACATTGTACACACACGCAAAATATTCCCAGCATTAATGCAAATAAAACAAATCTATAGCAGAAATGCAGTTTTGCCACTAATAACAGTGTCCACACATGCTTGCACGATCTTTGTCCAAAATAGCCAAACTGGTTAACACTCCTGTCTCAAACATGCCACTGTGAAATAGGCAGTTCAACAACAAACATTGAGTGTTGAATAAAAATCTCCCAGAAAAAGAATCCAGATTTTAGCTAGGTCTTACTGAGCGATAGCCAGTTCTGTAACAGGGTGTATTTCATAAATGCCAAGGCATTGCAAGTCTGAGTCTATAGGAATTGGCATGTAGGATATGCCAGAGAAATCTATGGCAGTGTTTGATTCTCTGCAGGCAATCCAACGAAGGAAGAAGAAAGTGGCAGGAAACCTGAAGGAGAGGTTGGGAATTACCCTAAGAAGAGTGCCTTCAGCAGGTCATTAATGCACCCACTTGGGCTTCCCTCACATAACCATTTTTCTGAACCAATACTACTTTCCACAGAAATACCAGTGCTGCAGTCGAAAACGTGAATGTTCCCAAGACTCTGAAGGCTCAGCTAATTTCAGACAAGTAGCCAGACACTAAGCTATGTGAAAACTGCCATCTCATCCAAAGTAAACCTTATTTATTTCTGAAAGTTTGCGTTACTGCAGAGTGAGAACATGCACGTATGTGTGTCTGAGAGACTTGCTCAGGACAGTCTCCTCAACATCAGAAGTTGTTAATCTTCTACATTTTATATAGTTTGACAAAAAGTTATGTTTAGCACACAACCACGAAGCAGTGGTTGTTGAGGGGGTTTTGGTTGTTTGTTTTTCAATGATTTCACATATACACACAATGCTCGCATAGAGTTTGGGGTATAGTTTCTTTGGTTTGGAGGGCTGTGCTATTTTTGTCAACTTCTTTCACACCTAACCATCCAGCTCCTAAGTTCCAGGATGCTCACAGCAAACAGCTAACCTAAGGCAGAGATTCATTACAGACCATTTCGTTAATCTTTTACAGGCAGCTATCATTTCTTGATGTCCATTTATCTGCAACTGCATTTACTGCATGCCTGGCAAGCACTGGTTGTATTGTCCGATCTTCCTCCCCAGAACTGTCTTCTACCTTCTAATCTTGGAAAAAGGAACACCACTTTTAGTCTAAAGAAGCAGATTCCTACTTGCAGATGGAAAAATGCACGGCCATATAGCTAGATTTATGTTCTAAAACAGGTGCTACACTTAAAAGCTCCTATTAGAGGACTAACAAATATTTAGAAGTTATAACCATGTAATTCCAGTGACTTTTCTTCAGAAAAAAAAAAATGTCCCATTCTTAGTGATCACAGGGAAAGAAAAATAATTTTTAAAGTTTTGAATACCTTTCAAGTGATACTCACTCAGACTGCAAAAATATAATAGGAAAAGCTGAGGTAAACATTCAAAGACATCTTTCACATCTTATGGGCCACACAGCTGTTCTACAAAGCCAGAAATCTAATACTACAGTTGTATACCTAGAGACAAACCATTCTACAGTATGATGTTATAACTGCAAGTCATTCTTTCCACTTCCAAAAGGTATAATGATCTGTAATTAAGCCCATGCAAGTACAACAAAGATGAAGGTAGAAAACTTGTCCAAGTTCTCTACTTTGTCAAGCAACTCACAAGCTTCCTTCAGATCTCGCTCACCCATGTGGGGTGAAACCATAACAATTCAAAGCAACAGAAGTTTTTAGAGATCAGCAGTTCCACGTGGTGCACCCACTCGTACAAAACCATCATTGCTACCGTAAGGTAATTCCTAGTGCCTGGGCAGAGGGTTCACACAAGTTCACAAATGTGCTAGCTGTTTAACAAACAGTTAACTGACACCGCGCCCACGCAACACTCACCTGCAGACCTTACACTGAAAGAATTAAGGAACTGTACTCCTGGACGAGCAGTTAAATTTATTGTGAAACCTGTTCTCAGCATCTACTATTCAGTTTTTCTAATGTGTCTGTTTTGAAACAATACCTTCTTAATGCAGCTCCTACCCCAAGCTGAATAAAAATTATTTATAGTTGTAAAAACTGGCAAGTAAACCTGATGTCAACAGAAAATCGCACAGTAACCCACGTGGCAAGGTCAGCAGCCAGGAAGGGGCACAGGACCTACAAACGGAACTCCAAATGTCACACGCTGCAAGCCCTGTTCATTGTCAGTGACTTTCCTTTGAGCAACAGTTTTAGAAGAGAAAGTCTTCCCTATTTAGAGCCACAAACTTTCAGAGTCCAGTTTACAAGGGAAAGCTCTCCAACTAAGCATCTTTCTCACGCTGCCCTTTACACAGGAAAAAGACTACTCAAATAATAAGG